GCTCGTGTTCGGCTCGTTAAGCAAACGAGCCGAACACTAACACACTTTTTGAGCTCGAAATATAAACGTACTCGCCTATTCTCCACAAATGGGTTAAACAAAAAGGACAACCACACTAACTCCCAAATTTGAAAAGATAGAGCAAACCTACAACAGAGAATTTTGTTCTTCCTAGCATTCTGAAATCAATGTAATACCTAAGATAAAGCATCAAACTAAATCAAACATATGCCCTGCCAAACATTAAACAAAGTAAGTGTCGCAGGAAACCATTCAATTTAATAATAATGAAAGCGAACCTGGGTGAGCTTGGCATTTAGTAAGCCTTCAGTGTAAGCTCCTTCGGCAGGAGAACGATTCTCAATGGCAAAGAGCTCATTCTTATACCACAGAAGCAATATCGTCTCTCCATCCTGAATAATCACCCGCCGTTCGCCCTTCGGCAATGCCGCTAGAGGCACCACAGGAACCCAGTTCAGCCCCTCATCATCACCGATGGAATTAACTGTTCCCGCCTCCCCTCCCTCTACCTTTGTCACTTCAGTCGCCTTGCAGGATGTTTTCCGGATGGATCTCGATAGCGGAGGCGGTGGAGAGAAAGGAAGACGGCGAAGTTTCGGTGTCATGGTCGTTAGCCTAAAACGGGGCTCGGAGGAGGCGGAGAAGAGAACTGAGGTAGCGGAGAGCTTTGATGCAGTCGCCATGGAAAATAAGGACGATGGAGGGAATTTCCGAGTGGAGGGAGCTTGGAGTTTTTAGCCACAGTGTGAGGATAAAGAGTAGGCCAGGAGGAGGAAATATTTGAGTATCAATTCTGCGTAACATTGAAATAATAAGTTTATTAGAGTTAATTAATATCTTAATAACCTCTCAATAATCCCTAATAACTGTGAAGCACAGGTTATTGAGGGGTTATTGAGCACGCAGCTCTGCAAGCATATTACGTGAGGGGAGAGACATCGACAGAGAAGGAGTACGGGTTCGTTTGCATTTCTAGCTAAAGTGTGTTCGTGTTCAACATGCCGAAGAGCCAATTTTGACAACCGTAATCACGTAGTTATAAAATATTAAAGATTGTGCCAAGATTTAAAAAGTATTGTTTATATTAAAACATCATTTGAATCTACTTTAATAACTTATTATTATTATTATTATTATTACTATTATTATTATTATTATTATTATTATATATATATATATATATATAATTGACTTGTAGTATTTTGAGTCAAAATGAGCTGAACACGGACGAACAAACAATCTTTGTAAGTGTTTGATTCGTTAATTTAGCGAACGAGACATACATGAAGCTTCTTAACGAGTCGAACACAAGCTGTTCACGAGCAACGAGCCGTTTTGACAGCCCTAAGTATGAGTTTAAAAAAATAAGAATAATCTCTCCTTTTCATTGATTTCTTTTGGCAGTGAAACATGTATCTTAAAATTACTCAAACATTTAGAGATCAAATTTAATTTGAATTTACTTTTCGATCAAACTCACTTTTGATTTAAATCAAATTTTAATGTTGTTTTAAACATATTTGATCGTTAGGAGGCTCGTAGTCAAGAATCTCACTTCTCAATACGCAACAATCTTTTAAATGACTTCCCCAACAACATATTGTGAGTCATTCTTGTTCAGCTGTATTTGGGCCTATTTTATGCATTTTTCGAGTGAGCTGCATTATAAACACCACTCCATCACACATAAAATTTCGACAAAACATACCCTCCAAGGGTGTCAAAGCCTTCTCCCAATAAACTCATCACTATCGACGAGCATCTCTTCTCACAATAAACGAACATCTCTTCCCCTAAAACAATCAAAAGTTTTGTCAAAACCATCTCTTACAAATATAAATATGTCAAGTTGAGCTCGAGCTACCCCAACATGATCTCGAGCTTTTGATAAATTTAATCAATTTGGAGCTCGAGATTGAGCTCGAGCTTAATATTAGGAGTGCAAGTTGGCTTATGAGTTGCTTGTTTTTTATAAAAATATAAAAAAAAATGATTTTGATTATCATGATAATCCTGATTTCATGACAACCCGGAAGATGTTTTGCATGTTGCAACCATCATAAGCTCATTGAATGGATTGAGTCTAACCGAAGCATGCTCATTTGGTTTGGAAGATCCTTAGCTTAGGCAAACACATATAGACTAAAATTTGATCATAATAATCTTATAAATATTAAATTTATTTTTAAATGAATGCAACATAAAATTACTCAATTGACCAAACATGTATTACACTCATTTTAAAACATATCTTTTAATTAAAAAAATTCATACTGACCAAAAATTTCTCCATTAAGATATTAAACTATTATAAGGGGGAGCATGGGACATAATCCTGTACTTAGTTATTTTAAATTTTTAATTTTTTCTAAGAAAATTTAAAGCAATAGAAAAATTGTCTACCAAAATTTGTTCAAAAGAAAATCTTTTGATAAAAGAATCAACTACACGCACATCGTTTCCACAAGTCTCTTGCAGCTTTCCCCTAGGACAGAAACAGGAGAAAAATTTGTGTATGTAAGACGTACGCAGCGCTGCGTACATAATGAAGTTTATATTCATGTTATATCTGGATCATATTTGTTATATCGTCTGTAACCTCGATGTAACATTCATATAACCTACCTATAACCTACCCGAACTTACAAATAAGTTCTGCGTTTCTGTTTTCACATATTTGTAGGTTACATGTAGGTTACATGGAAGTTATATGGAGTTTACAGGGGATATAACGCGAATATAATCTCTATTATGTATGCAGCGCTACATACGTCTTACGTATGCAATTTTTTTCCCAGAAACAGGATAAGATGGAATACTTAATGCAGAAAATAGAGTTAAATTGAGACGAATGTAAAACAAGCAAGGTAAATTTACATAAATACTAGCCAGTTCTTATATATTTACATGTCTTACACCTAAAGTTAGCTTTTTTACATCCATACCACCCAAATCATTCATATCATATAAAAAATACCACTATTTTAACTTCTAAAAAATGAAATACATCTTTTTAATGCACAAGTGACGTGGCATGCATGCAAAATTTGAAGTTCAGCGTAGGAATTGAGTGGCATGCATGTATGAATAAGAGTCAAATCTGTGAGAGCTCTAGCGTAATATAAATTCCTTTTGATGATCAATCATTTTCTTAGTATATAATAATACAGAGATTTCTCATGCTTTCATCAATAACATTAAAGCCTACAATCAACGCATACATACTGTTACATACAAATAATTACAGACGTAACGAAGTTTAAGCATAGGAGAGCCATCACAACCTATCAGCAAGCTGCGGAAACCGTTGCAGCAGCCAACAAACAGTACTAATGATAGCCTGCATTTGCCAGACAAGAGCCTTATCAAACAAAACACTTCACAATCTTTGAATTGGTTTGAAGATGGGTCAGCATAATCTACGATAAAGATGACCCAAATTGCTTGGGAACTATAATCTGTGATTATTTCAGCTGTCAACTAGTATTTAGTCCCATACAAGTTAAAAAACAATAATAATAATTCATAGAATCATAAGTTTTGGATGAGGTCGTAAATATTTATTATTGGCGTATAAAAAATAGAGAAAAAAATATTTAAATTAAAATTCCTATCAAATCGCCTGTTCTCTGTTGCGTGAACCTAAAGCAGGGAAAAAATTTGCTTACGTGCAGAGATGTGTACATAATAGGGTACATGGGCGTTATATGGGAGTTACATGAGGGTTACAAGCGTGTTATAACTTCCTTGTAACTTTCGTATAACTCAGCTGTAAACTGCGCTTTTATTTTATCCATTGAGATTACAAGGTCACAGCGGGGTTACACGGGAGGTTACACGGGAGTTACACGGGAGGTACAACGGGTTATAACCCCCTTGTAAGTATAAACCCCGTGTACCCTATTATGTACACATCTCTGCGTACCCCTTGACGTACGCAAATTTTTTCCCTAAAGCAGGCAAAGAAATCCCTGCTTCTCCTGTTAGACCCAGCTGCTACAGTAACGCTTGCCGTTCCCAGCTGCTACAGTAATGCTTCATGTTCCCAGTCTGCTACAGTAACGCTTCCTGTTCACTTCTCATTCCTCCGCTAGCTAAAATGAGCCGCCCTTCCTACCAAACTGTTAGCCCGAGACCTTCCTTCCCTACTTTAATGTTTCATATTTTATGTTTTGTATTGTAAAATAGAAAAGAAGCCACTTACATGTGACATAGTGGTTGGGGGGTGGTTTCCCACCGTGAAATCTTAAGTTCGACTCACATGCCCTTTCGACCCACCTTTCTCCAGCCAAAAAAAAAAAAAAAACAGTATTACATTTTTATTTATTTATTTTATTTCATTGTTTCATTGCTACGCTTCAACACTATTTGGCCGATCGTCGACATCTGTGACATCACATGATAAGGTAAAATGGGCGCGGGAAGAGAAATTTTTAAAATATCCACTCAAGGAAGCATTATTTGTCCATGGGAATTGAGTAATGTTCTGAAAAATTGCACCCATTTGAGATCTTTTACAAAAAATAGATGATTTAAGTATCCATTCTTGAAAATGTGAGTACGTGTCCAGGGGATTAAATACCTTTTAAGAAAAGTAAAATACCTATTTGGGGAAATGTTTGCCTTTGATTTAACATTTTTGCAGCACAATGAATGCATATAGCGATTTTTAAAACCATGTGTTGAAATATTTAGTTTTGGTCTCCAGTCGCAATGTCGCGTGACACTAACCAATGAATCATTTAAGACAGTTGTAAAGGTTAGCGTTCTCCATTGCCTCCTAATAGAGGCCGACACCAAAAGATTGCCAAATTTTTTAGTGATATAGACTTGCAAATAAGTTAAAATTTTTAAACTATCCCAATTTGTAAAATAATTTAAAATGTGGATCACTTAAAGATAATTTGTCCATGGAGGTTTAAAATATAAGATCTCTGAGCTTAAAAAAAATTAAGGGTGAACTTTTAAAATGTAGGCTCTTAGAACTTGAAAATAATTTGAAATATGAATGTTTTGGTCATATAAATGATTCAAAATATTTAGATTTCTTAAAATTAAACTCATAGGGTTAAAATTATTCCACAATTTGGGGTTTTTCAAATTTATACCCTTAGGTTTGGATCATTTGAAGTTATTAAAATAGACCCAAATATTAAACATTTGTGCTTTACCAACAAAAATAAATAAATAAATAAATAAATAAATAATCCTTAATATATTTGAGGGTTTAGCTTAATCTGAAATTGAAATATCAAATATTAGAAGACTAAATTGAAATGCCCTAATAGGAAATGCGAAATTTGACTTGACATTAAGTCATCACCGACTCTACAATGCCAATTCGAGAGCAGATAGAAGGCGACCTTTTCAAGCCCAAAATGTAATTGGGCATGTGATCCAATAATACAATATCTAAGTGAAGTTTTCATTGTTTCAATTGATTTCAAACTTTCATAAAATTCAAGGCTATTTTAATTCAGATAACATGCCTCGAATTCAATGGTTCAAATGTTTTCAGGCTATGCATATGCATCTAAACAACAAAGTATTGATTTCTATTAACAAAGTTCGGAAATTTTAAGTTTTGCACTTATCTTTCAAATACTTCATTACAACAATATACTAGTTCAAATGTATGTGTATAATGTATTAAGATGCATAAATATTAGCAAAATCAAATTCGCATGGCCTCCAGCTAAATTCTAAATGATTTAATGAATAGCTTAGGAATGTTGTATAGGTTAAAATAAAGTATTTTCACTCAAGTCGACCAATTTTTTAGAAGTGTACAGAATTGCTTTCAAAGAGTACAGATCTATTTAAAATTATAAAATCTCTATGGTAAAATCAAACTTAAGACAATTAATTATGCACATGTTATACGGGCTGTCTTGTTTATAAAACAAGATTGTACGTCTCACTCAACCAATCTGATTATTCTTCGGTACGATCCGACTTCCAATTCAAAACGTTTTTTTCATAGAAATTAGAGCAAACCTAAATTTTTATTTCAATAATCCAAACAACTCACACGAATACAAACGATAAGCACCTAAAATTCGAGAGGTAGGCGATCTCTCCCCATCCTACAATTCGAGACATAAGACTCACCACTCAATCTTATGTATAAATCTAACCCTAGACATAGCAAGCCTATTTATACCCAACAATACAACAAGAACAACAACAACAGCAGCAAAAAAGCCTTAATCCCACTACGTAGCGTCGGCTATGTATACCCAACAATAATAAAAATAAAAGACTAACCTAAAGACTAAATTGCCCTTAGGGATACAAAAAATAAATTTTCACTAAGGCTAGACACCAACATAACAATACCCCCCACAAAAGATATCTTATCCTCAAGGAGAGAAGTAAGTGTTCTTCCTCCTCCACAGTTGTCTCCATTTCTTTATTCTCTGCTTCCTCGTCAATTACCATGAGAACTTGTAATTTTCAATCATTGTAATGGTGTCCTAGGGCAAACTTCTCATCACACCGAAAACATAACCCCTTGACTCGCTTCTTCTGAATCTTTGTCTCGGTAAAGTGCTTGGGTGTTGCTCCCGGTCGTGGTCTATTATTCGTGTCCAGTGCACCCTCCCTTTGAACCTCCACTGTTTGAGCTTTTGGTATCGTCGTGGTCGTAGTGATTCAATAAGACGTTCCATCTATGTTGCTCTTGCTAGCCTTCTTCATCTGATTCTCGTCCACTATCATCAGAGTTAGCTCCATCGTCTCCTTCAATCTCCGCGGTCGTAATAGTCAGAGTGATACCCATATGTTGGGTTTTAGGCCCTTCATGAAATTTCCTTCCAATCCTGGTTCAGAAATCTCCCTCAATCGCCCTGACAATAACTCAAATCTCTCCATGTATTCCATGACAATCCCCTCCTGAGTCAAGGCATAAAATTGCTCGTGTAGGTCTTCTTCCCGAATTGCTCAGAAAGATTCCAACAAACAATCTTTGAATTCCTCCCATGAATTGATCGAATATCTAGCCTCCCTCCATTGAAACCAGGCTAGAGCTTCCCTTCCAAACATAACCCTGTTGCCATGAATTTCTCCTCCACATTTACCCATTCGCCGTGAACTACGCTCTCCCCGATAATTACAGGTGTAATGAAGCTTAAGCATAGGAGAGTTTGAGAATATTTTCCCATCACAACCTTTCAGCAAGCTGCGGAAACCGTTGCAGCAGCCAACAAACAGTACTAATGATAGCCTGCATTTGCCAGACGAGCCATATCAAAAGAAAACTTTACAATCTTTGAATTGGTTTGAAGATGGTTCTGCATAATCTACGATAAAGATAACCCAAAATACTTGGGAACTATATTCTGTGATTATTTTCGTTGTCAACTAGTATTTAGACCCATACAAGTTAAAAAATAATAATAAAATTTAATAGAAACATAAGTTTTGGATGAAGTCAGAAATATTTATTATTGACCACCTAAGAAAAATAGAGAAGAAAAATATTTAAATTAAAATTCCTACCTAATCGCTTGTTCTCTGCTACGTGAACCTGAAGCACGCAAAGAAAACCTTGCTTCTCCTGTTAGTCCCAGCCTACTACAGTAAACGCTTCCTGTTCACTTCTCTTTCCTCCGCTAGCTAAACTGAGCCGCCCTTCCTCCCAACTCGAGCCCAATACCTTCCTTCCTCACTTTAGTGTTTCATATTTTATGTTTTGTATTGTAAACTAAAATAGAAACCCACTTACATGTGACATAGTTGCTGGGGGTATTTTCTCACGTTGAGATCACAAGTTTGAATCACACATAATGCCCTTTTGGCTCACCTTTCCCAAACAAAGAAAAAAAAAAACAATGTCACGTTTCTTTTTTAATTTTATTTCATTGTTTCATTGCTTCGCTTCAACACTGTTTCGCCGATCGTCGACATCTCCTATATCACATGATAAGGTATAAAATGGGTGTGGGATGAGAAATTTTTAAAATATCCACTCAATGAAGCATGAGCACCTGTCCATGGGAATTGAGTAATGTTCAGAAAAATTGCATACTCATTTAAGATTTTTACAAAAAGAAGGTGATTTAAGTACCCGTTCTAGGAAACGTGAGTACCTGTTCAGAGGATTAAATACCTTTTAAGAAAAGTAAAATACCTAGTTGGGGAAATGGTTGCGTGTGATTTAACATTTTTGCAATACATTGAATCCATATAGCGACTTTTAAAATCATGTGTTGAAATATTTATTATTGGTCTCCAGTCGCAGTGTCTCACGACACTAACCAATGAATCATTTAAGACAATTGTAAATGTTGGTGTTCTCCCTTGCCTCATAATAGAGGCCGACACAAGGAGATTGCCAAATTTTTGAGTGACTTAGACTTGCAAATAACTTATAATTTTTAAACTATCTCAACTTCTAAAATAATTTAAAATGTGGATCACTTGAACTTAAAAATAGTTTGTTCATGGGCTTTTAAAATGTAGGCTCTTAGAACTTGAAAATAATTTGAAATATGAATGTTTTGGTCATATAAATGATTCAAAATATTTAGATTTCTTAAAATTAAACTCATTGGGTTAAAATCATTCCACAATTTGGGGGTTTTCCAATTTAAACTCATAGGTTTGAATTATTTGAACTTATTAAAATTGACCTAAATATTAAACATTTGTGCATTACAAATATATATATATATGCATCCAGCACCTTTTATATATATATATATATATTATTTGAGTTGAAATTAAGTCGTCACCAAATCTACAATTCCAATTCCGAAGCGGATAGAAGGCAACCATTTTCAAGCCCAAAATGTAATTTGGCATGTGATCCAATAACACAATATCCAAGTGAAGTTTCATTGTTTCAATTGATTTCAAAGTTTCATGAAATTCAAGGCTATTTTCATTCAGATAACATGCCTCAAATTCAATGGTTCAAATGCTTTCAGGCTATGTATGTGCATCTAAGCAACGAAGTATTGATTTTTATTAACAAAGTTTGGAAATTTCATTTTTTACATTTGTGTTTCAAATACATCATAACGGCAATATGCTAGTTCTAATTTATATAATGTACTAAGATATATATATATATAATATATATATATATATATCCACATAGCCTCCAGCTAAAATTCTAAATAATTTAATGAATAGCTTAGGAATGTTGTATAGTTTAAAATAAAGTCTTTTCACTCAAGTCAGTCCTATTTTTGAGAAGTGTACAAAATTGTTTTCAAAGTGTCTACACCTATTTTAAAATTATAAAATCTCTATGGTAAAATCAAACTTCAGACAATTAACTATGCACGTGTTATACGGGTTGTCTTGTTTATCAAACAAGATCGTAAGTCTCGCTCAACTAATATGATCATTCTCTGTTACAATCCGACGTCAAATTTAACTCGTTTTTTCATAGAAATTAGAGCAAACATAAATTTTTATTTCAATAATCCAAACAACTCACATGAATACAAACGATAAGCACCTACAATTCGAGAGATAGGCGACCTCTCCTCATTCTTACAATTCAAGAAGTAAGAAATCTCTCCCTAGCCCTAAACCTAAAACTCGCCATTCAATCTTATGTATAAACCTAACCCTAGATATAACAAGCATATTTATACCCAACAATAACAAAAATAAAAAACTGAATTGCCCTTAGGGATACAACCTCCCCCCCGCCCGCCCCTGCCCCGCCTTGCAAGAAGACATCTTGTCCTCAAGGAGGGAAGTGAGTGTTCCTCCACCACAATTGTCTCAATTTCTTTATTCTCTACCTCCTCGTCATATACCATGAGAACTTGTAATTTTCAATCATTGCAATGATGTTCAAGGGTAAACTTCTCATCACACAGAAAACATAGCCCCTTAGCTCGCTTCTTCTGAATCTCTGTCTCTGTAAAGGACTTGAGTGGTGCTCCCGGTCGTGGTCTATTATTCATGTCCAGTGCATCCTCCCTTTGGACTTCCACCGTTGGAGATTTTAGTATCGTCGTGGTTGTAGCGGTTCGGTGAGACGTTCCATCTATGTTGGTACTGCAGGCCTTCTTCATCTGATTCTTATCCTCTATCATTTGAGCTAGTTACATCATCTCCCTCAATCCCCGCAGTATTAATAGTCAGAGTGATACCCGTATGTTGGGTTTTAGGCCCTTCATGAAATTTTCTTCCAATCCTGCTTCAGATATCCCCCTCAGTCGTCACGACAATAGCTCAATTCTCTTTATGTATTCCATGTCAATCCCCTCCTGAGTCGAGGCATATAATTGTTTTGTAGGTCTTCTTTCCGAATTGCTCAGAAAGATTCCAACAAACAGTCTTTGAATTCCTCCTATGAATGGATCGAATATCAAGCCTCCCTCCATTAAAATCAGGCTAGAGCTTCCCTTCCAAACATAAACCTGTCGCCATGAAATTCTTTTCTCACATTTACCCATTCACTGTGAACTATCGCTCTCTCCGATACATACATCGATATGCATCTTCCGCCTGAAAGATCGACATCTTCAACTTCCTAACTCTAACAACTTCACCCCAACTTTCTCGTTCTTCGTTGCTTCCCCCACGAATGAAGGTTAACATTCCCTCCTTTCATTGTAGCCATATCCCCTCCCTGTTTTTCTTTTTTCTTCTCAATGCTCCTTCATATCACTTGCATGATCACTTCTCCATGTTTCAACTCACCGCCTCCATTAGAAATATTTGATCCACCCCCAATCGGAGCCCCTAAGACAGGGTTCGTGATGGTAGATGTATTCCTCCTATTCCTCACGTTCGATATCTTTTCCTATCTATCTTGTCACAGATTTTCCAGTCAACCTTTGATTAAGGTTTGCAAATTGAGTCGTCAACATGATCTTGGATTGCATCTAAATGAACTTCTTTAGGATCTCTCGAATTTCCCCCATGCTCTCAAATCAGTACTCTCGTCGGTTCTCCAAAGAAGAGAACCTATTATCTATGGTGCGAACCTTTATCCATCCCAAATCTGATTTGACTCATATCTTCCTCTAAATCAACTACTTTCTTGGCTATCATTATTTTCTGTCACTAGGGCACACTGGATTCTGGATCCAGTCGCTGACTTCCAGGATCACAATTAGGGCACACTCGATACCGTTGCATCCTTCCCCGCTAGTTTTGATCTAATCGAGTCTATTTCATGTGGTTCAGTGAGACAGAGATGAATATAAACTGGAATCCCTTATCTTTCCCAAGTAACTCGAACCGTTGTCATATCACAAGCCTTTTGTCACAGCCCGATAAGATCTCGTTGTCGCCTTTCTCACAAGTTTTGATTGTGATTGGATCGTAGGTTTTGGTCACGATGGCGACAACTAGCCTTCCTAGCAGGCTCCCATCGCGACTGTATCGCAGCAAGCTTTGATCCACTGTATCGCAAGGTTCAGTCATAACAGTACAGACCAACAAAGGCTCCAAACCCGTCATTGCCTTCTTCTGTAAGCCGCGGGCCTATCGTTGCCTTCTTTTGTAAGTCGCGAGCCTGTCGTTGCCTTCCCATCAAGCAATGATCGCGACTATATCACTTAGGTTCGGTCACATCGTCGCCTTCCCAATAAGCAATGATCATGATTGTATTGCTTGGGTTTGTTCAAGAAGGTACCGGATCGTGTTGTGTTGCTTGTGGAGGAGACAGATATAGTTTCACATCTCAGTAAGATGTGATCTTTGTGGCTTTCACTGTATGCCTAGGTCACACCTTCGATCGAAGATCTAGCTCTCCAAGCCTGATCCTTTTTTTTTTCTTTGATTCCCAGAACATACTACTCTGATATTAAATTGTTACGATCTGACATCAAATTTGGCGCGTTTTTTCACATAAATTAAGGCAAACACAAATTTTTATTGCAATAATCCAAACGACTCACAAGAATACAAACGATAAGCACTTACAATTCGAGAGGTAGGTGATCTCTCCCAATTCCTACAATTTGAGATGTAGAAAATCTCCCTCAAACCCTAAACCTAAAACTCGTCACTCAATCTTATGCATAAACCTGATCCTAGACATAACAAGTCTATTTATACCCAATAATAATAACAGTAATAAAAGACTAAATTGCCCTTAGGCATACAAAAGAAAAATTTACCCTTGGACTTGGTGTCAACGTAGCATTCTCCTCTTAAGGACTAGAATTTAATAGTTTAATAATTTTGAAATAATGACCAAATAACAAATATAAGAATTTACAAGTCTAAATTAACTAGCTTGATCCTCCTCCATGTTTGGATTGGAGCCTACAGAACTAATATGCTAAAGATATCAAAATTGATAAATTTCAAATAAATTTCAAACATAGAAGTTTTAAATGTTTAAATCACTGATGATGGTCACATTGACTAAAAATCCCAAAGGATGGATCACCTTTTAAATTAAAACTTTTAAATCAAAATTTTCAAGGCAACAAAATAGAACATCTATTTAAAATAAAATCACATAAAACTTAAAGCAAACTCACATAGACCTTTGCGATAGTTTATCAAGGATGACAAACTTTTGATTAAATTCAACTCACAAGAGTGAATGTCACATCAAATATATCAATATATTCACACATAAAGTAATCTCAAGTCAGTAAAGATGTGGCGAGTCTTCTATCGGTGTGGTTTGACCTAAATGATTCAAAAAATATAGTGGTTACGACCAGAGCCCTCAAAAAGATAGTTGCCTCCAAATGCCAGAATTATATCACAGACATGGCTATAATTCATATGCTACGTAATGGTTTTTTTTTATTCTGCGAGTTGTGAACTATAAAAATACAATTAATTGACACAAAGCTTTATGTCAGCGAAGGACAAATTAAATTTATTTCCTTAGACAGACAAGTCATGGTTGCTAACGGGGATCTTTCAGTCAGTTGGGTTGCCTACCTCCTCTAACTATGCAGATCACGGACCTCGAAGACCCGGGACGACGAAATCATGGGAGCTTGATCGGGTTCATCATCATTTATCCCACCATTCGCTTTAAGATCCATGTGATAAATTTTACAAATTAAAACCAGATGTTTGTTATTATTATATGTTAAATGTTTAGTGTTCAATGACTACCTTTAATCGAAAGTTTTCTCCTGATTATCAAGAAAGGTAATTAACCATAGGGGCTTGCGCTTATGGAAAACCTTGAACCCTAGATCAAAAAATCATCGCAAATTGAGGGCGAAATCTCTGGGTAGTGTCATATCTACAATCCAATCTGCCATTTGAAAATTTGACCCTCAAAGCTCTCTCAACAACCGGTAAAGTCCAGGGCATCAGAATTTTTGAAGCCCATAACTATCAATCTTAATTTAATGTAATCCCATCAAATATTAAGATTCATTTTCACAAAAAAATGAATGAGAACAAAATCATTTTTCTATCTATAGGCGTGCAAATGAGCAGCAAAAATTGAAGGAAGATTCACATACATACCACTCAATTCCTTGGTATTTACATTTCCAACACCTAAACTTTCATTTTTAAATACATAACACCTTACCTATGCATGAAAAGGTGTATATCACTTTTTAAAAGTTAAAATAGTGGCTTTTTTATGTGACATAAAAGATTTGGGTGGTATAAATGAAAAAAAAAATTTGGTGTTATACATGTAAATACATAGGAATTGCGTTGTATGTATGCAAATGCACCAAAAAATGAATTTACCTGGTGGTGATCATTGAGCAGCAAAGTTTATTTCACTTAAAAACTGTGTTAAACTTACCAATGCTGCTGCCCCAGGTTTCACGGCAGGTTCTACACAGTCTCGTGCATAGCTGCAGGAAGAAAATACCATCAGCCTACCGATGAAAATAAAATACTATGTTAACAGCAGACTGATCAGTTGATCTACAGAATAAGTCGTTGAAGAAATGGTGCTGAGATTCACTTGAGACGTGATATAGAATCAAACAGCTCTATTCTCTGATTTATGATTATATCCATTCATTACAGACCAGTGTTAGCAATCTTCTAATTTTTTAAATTATTTTAAATATCATAAATCAAGCATGCAATTATAAGATTCTCACAAAGGCAGATTAAATATGCAGTACCTCAGAACCAAACAGTTGTCTTGAGCGATTCAGAAATGGAAAAATTAGATGATACACTTTTGAAGTTCGAAATATGAGATTTATCTACTTAGGTTACATTGACCAGGAGAGAAGCACGACAGCGCCAAACTAAGAATACACTTTCAAGACCTAAAATGCATCTTATATGAGCTATGCCTGCCTCTCGAAATATAGATGCTTATATTTGATATTCGTGTAAGTTAATCATGTTGTATTATTTTGATTTGATGTTATTGAAGAACAATATTAGTTGTGCCCAAATTTTTCTAGAAAATCGTGTCGATTTCTGCGTTGGATCGTATAAAATTGGTATCAGAGCATTTCTATCTGGGATACAGAAAGAATCGCAGCCTGAAAAAGAAATTTGCATCTAATCTACCAATCGAGCCTGGAAAGCGACGACGGGCTCGAAACAGAGAGTTCGCTAGAGAAGGCAATGACGGGATCGCGACTTACAGAGACCAGAAATACTGATATTTCTCCTCCTCCCACTCCATAGACATGATCAGAGCAAGCTGGGAAGAGAATCACGGCTTATAGAGGCCCAAAACTTTTCTTCTATCTTCGCGAAGGAGACAAAAATGATCCCACATAACATAGAGCATCTAATTTTCGTTATCTCTAACAACCGCGATCAAGCAAACGAGGAGTACAATGAACTCATTTCACAATACTATCGCGATCAAGTTGGTTGGGAACAAAGTACGGGATCATTACGTACAGTGATAAGAATATTGTGGTATAGTCACGATCTGAATTCAATCAGGCAAGCTGGAAAGACTGGATCGAAGCCCACAGTAGCTTTCATGACCTCACGAAATAGTCCTAATTTGAGCTAACTAGGAAGTGATGATTGGATTCAGAGTATAAAGTTTTTGCCGTTTTGTTTTACAAAAATTATATTGGGAAAGATGGCAGTAAAAAAAAAGTAGATTTGGATAAGAAATTGGAGGAAGAGATGAGTCCACTTAAATCCAAGATAAAGGAATGTTATGCGCCATAAAAAGAAGGGTTTTCTCCATAGACGATACGTTTTCTATCATGTAAAACTGATTCGAGAGCTTGGAGGAGATGATAAGGAACTTATTGAGATACAATCCAAGACTCAATTGTTAACAAATGTTAACTAGAGATTTTGTGGTCAGAGTGAAAGGAAAGAAGATCAAACGAGAGGAGCACAAAGAGACAAGCATCCCACTTCAAGAACACCCTCTCAGGGCTCCAATTAGGGGTGGACTAGAGATTTTTGATGTAGACAATTGGGACAAAGCATGAAGAAGAGGTTATACACGAGGTATGGAGGAGCATGAAGAATAAAGGAGAATGAGGAAGGGATATGGCAATGATCAAAGGAAGGAGTTTTACCCTTGATACATGGGGAGAAACAACGGAGAGAGAGGAAGTGGGGTGGAGATGCAATGGTTAAGAAATTAAAGACGTCGATTTTCGAGAGGAAAGATGAGTAGGTGCTTGTATAGGGTGGATTGATACTTCTCGATGAATGGGCTAGATGGGTAGAAGAAACTCATGGTGGTGGGGTTATGTTTAGAGGGAAAAGCCCTAGCTTATTTTCAATGAAAGGAGGCTAGATATCTAATCCGTTCTTGAGAGAAATTTAAGGAATGTTTACTGAAATGTTTTCAAACAATTTGGAAAGGAGACCTACAAGAGATATTATATGTCTTGACCCGGGAGGAACTCTCATGAAATACAAGGAGAGATTCAAGCTATTTTTGAGATGGCTACGAGGGATTTTGAAGCATGATTGGAGGGAAACTTAATGAAAGGCCTAAAGCCCGGCATACGAGTAGCACTACGACTAATGAGCCTGCAGTGAATGAGGGAGATGACGGAGCTCGCCTAGATAGTTGAAGATGACAACCAGTTGAAGAAGACCAATTAAAACATCACCATGGAAGGATTCCACAACCATGATACTGATGACCCGAATTGTCATTTTAGAAGCGGATATGGAAGGAGATGAATACAGGGGTCGTCCCGAGGGTAACTTCAAGCGCCTCATAGAGGCAAAGGGGTGGGACAAGAAAACAAAGGGATTATGCTTTCGATGTAATAAGAAGTATGCCCTAGTGCATCAATGCAAGGATCACAAGCTCTGGGTCCTTTTAGTTTATGACGGAGAGGAGGCAAATAGTGAGGAGTTGGAGGTAGAAGCGTTAAACGAGGAACACCATTTTCCCCACCTTGAGAATAAGGCATTCTTTTAGGGGAGTATTGCCATGTCGGTAGAGCCTAAAGTCAATTTTATTTTTTATTAGCCTTAGGGCAATTTTATCTTTTATTATTATTAGGGTTTGGCATAAATAGGTCCTAATAGGAATAGAATTAGGCATGTATGAGACTTATTGTGATGAGTTTTAGGTTTAGAGTTTGGGAGAGACTTCCTACCTCTCAAATTATATGAATTAGGAGATATTCCCTACCTTTCGAATTGTAGGTGCTTATCTTCAGTATTCATGTAAGTTGATCGTGTTGTGTTGTTTTGATTTGATATTATTGAAGAAAAATACTGATTTGCCCTAATTTCCTTAGAAAATCATGTCGATTTCTGCGTCAAATCGTATCAAAATGTTGATCACGCAAAGTTATCATATAAATTTAGTTGGATCTCAATTTATCCATGAGTAATGTGAGAATCTTATTATTAAGCACAACAACATAAACATAATAAAAAGTACAGAGAGAAAATCTGAAGAATGGGTGTGTTGAGCCTACCACCTACCCCCTATTTATAGGTTCAAGAGAGAGTTCAGCACTAAATGAAGAGCAGTGACATAAAATAAAATAAACATAGCAAGTCTTAACAATTGTATGTTGTAAAATACATGAATTGTAAAGCCAAAAATACATAAAAAGCCATGGTGATAATTGACAGAAGCTTCCACTTGTGAAGTCACTGACTAGCTTGATTGATGCTTGTGAGTGGCCTTTAAGCGTAGAGTGAGTTGGCTTAGTTGATCCTAAGGCCTGCTATTCTCCATCATGAATAAGGTAATAACAATTTGACAAACACATAGAGCACTTGAAGGGTTTAATATGGCAAATGCATGACCTTGGCAAAATAGACTCATTTGTGGCATTGACTAGTTAATGTAGCATAGGCAATATTAAACTAACGTTAGCAAGTTCAAATTATAGTTCATAATGAAGTTGAACCCAATAAGTTCAAGCCAATCAGAGAGTTCATGCTGAATCTCAAGTTCACTATTCCTCAAACGGATGATTTATTTAAAACGTTGAACCGAATTGGCTTAAATTGAGATCATGAAATTTGAGAATACATATCTACTTTATTTTTTTAATAAAATTCGACATATTATAGGAGCAATACATGCGATACCACACTACTGCAAATGCTATTGTCATACATTGGTTAATATTTATGATTTCCAAATAATATGTAACTACTAACATTGCCACATAAGAATAACGGAACTATGAGATGTGCACCGCTTATGCTGATGAGGGATGTATCAGCTATTGAGTGTTAGGCACCTTCTCAACATTGTGAATAATAAATTTATGAGATATGCTCCGCTTATGACAGTGAGGGATATATCGTAAATTACAGGTTGTTTAGAATGGGTTGTAGTCGCTGAAGCTCCCAAGGCAAAATGTATACTCACTCTCTTATAATTCAAAAGCTACACCACTCTATGATAATCCATGATGAGTACACTAAACAATTGCTAAAAACTTGCCAATGACATCAAATGTTATGACAACTACTATAATCTACAACATAAAAATAATTGTTATTTAAAATGTCATGTTATGCATAGATCCTTGCATTGTTTAATGATTAGCATGCATATTATCCCTTTTACATAGTGTTTAATGTTATTAATGAATGTCATGCACCCACTGAATTACTTATACATGTCATCATAATTAGTTGATTACAAATTTCCAAGAAAATATTTATTAGAATAGATGAACAGATGAGTCAGAGAGGATTTTAAGTACAAACAATATGAAGCACCTTCAAATATTTGTACATATGATAGATGTATATTATAGCACTTACTGATCTTTATAAATGTATTAAAAGTGTTGGTTACATGCTAAATTTATTGTCTTACGCTTTATAATTAGATATTTGAGCATATATATATGTATATATGTGTTGAATCCTAACTTGTCTTATGGAATACACGCCCCGAAAGTTAAAGCAGAGAGGAGAGAAGAGAGCAAAAGTCGAGTAAGAGAGAGAGTAAAACTCCCTTCATTTATGTCCTGATCTCCTACTTATAGAAATCTTAAAATATAGTTATAGAAAAGAGAAGAAACGTTTTAATAACCGCCAAAATAATTGAATTGACGTGTCTATCGAGTGAAAATTACATTATAATATGAAAGAAACATAATGCTTGTCGACCACCAGATGCTTCGATTTGGGTTGGTTTTGTCGATCGACCACATATATCGGGTCGATTCCTCCGAGGGAACCAGTCAATCGATCAAAATAAAATCGACCGATTTCGGTAAGAGGTGCGTCGGCCAGTAGGTCTATCGATCGATCTTGTTGTGCAGTTGGTCGACTGCTTGGCTAGTCGACACCTTGCTCATTAGCTCGGAACTTCGATCGTCTAGGTTTCCATTCCTAGCCGCTCGATCACCTTGAGATTCACGTTGGCATTTTTGTTGTATACAATATATGTGTGTGCGTGTGTGTAGTG